ATTTTTTAAAAATCATTATCATTCCGCGAATTATAATTATTGGTCTGGCCGCTCGTAGTAATTGCCGTCAATACTGCGATAACTACATCACCCCTAATACCAATAATTTAAAGTATAAATTAAAACATTTGATGTAATCAGTCAACGTACCGTGAAGATTATTCATTTATCTGATGTCCGCCGAGCCTGATAATTACATGATGAAGACAGAACTCGTCTAAACCTCATCCCTTCCTTTTAAAATCTGTTCGAATTAAAATTAAGCACCATCTACGGCTTGCTTTACTTTTTGTGCGAGCGAAATAAAAACTACCAAAAACAAGCCGCCCTAACGACGCTTTAGACTGCGGAATAGCACGTGCTTCCCAGGGTCGCTGTAAGCTCGGAGCCCTGCTACGTTCCCACTTTAGGTAAAAATTGCGTTTGCAGATGATTTTCCAGGGTAAATTGGAAGGAGTTGTTATAGTGAGTAACTCAACAGCAAAAAGGGGAGGAGAAAAATGAAAAAAAAAAAAAATGGGTGCGACAGCATTACGGAATTAAGAAAGAATTCACTGAATCCACGAGGACGTCATCAGAGTACTGTGGAATGCGGATTACGTATCGTTATGTACAATAGCTGTACCATAGAATGTTAGATGAGCTGCCTGAATATAATTTTGGATATAGAATAAAGCATCAGTGAATGCTCTGAATCAACATCCAGCTTTTAAAATATCGATAAAAGCCCAGAACTATGTTTATCAAATAAACAAGTTTCATTTCACGCAAGTTTTGAAGAAACGACTGAACAGGTTGCGAGGCATCACATTTGATGCTCGTCTGTTTATATACGTAGGGTTATTTATAACCTGTTTGTATGCGTAGGGTTATTTATAACCTGTTTATATACGTAGGGTTATTTATAACCTGTTTATATAAGTAGGGTTATCTTGTCTAAATAGAGTAATTTTATTACGGATGCTATAATGACTTAATTGATTTCCATTCCTCGTTCACCCGGTTTGAACGGATTCTGTGTTTCGTAAACGTTTTTCCGCTTACACTAATGGAGGTCGAATCGCACACCCATTTGGGATTCCTTGCTTTTTTCACCCATGTTATAATTAGGCATATAGGCCGCTGAACAGCGCATTGTTTATCGGGTATTTGTTTAATCACTTATGGCTCGCTATTGAAGCCCGACGTCTACCGCATTTAAACTGGACGAAAATGCAGTTTTAATAATATCAGGCACACTTTGAATTCGTTTATGGTTCCACTGAATAGACCATTTATTGAAACATCACGTCAAGTGTGTTTTAACTCACCAAGAGTGACTAAAAGACGACGCTCATTGAACTACAGGGACGTTGAAGCGCGGTGTTTACAGTTTCTGCGTTTTACCATTACTAGAAAATTATTTGCGGCTTGTGGTTGAACAGATGTATTTTTGAACACACCCAGCCCGCAAAGAGTTAATCGAATTGATACGTTTCCGCCCAAACCAACCAAATTAACGGCCGAACTCAAACCAATAATTACGAGTCGCGTCCCGAAACGCTGTACCGCTCAAACGAATAGTTACAAGTCGTGTCTTGCCACGACCCGGTGGTGGTAGCGCGAGTCGCTATCCCGCAGGGCGTGGGCTCAAAGGACGCGGGGGTCAAAAACGAGAACACTTGTGCAAACGGAATAATAAAGGTATTTAATATCAAAATAATATTCACGCAAAACAGAACACACAAAAAAGTAATCAAGAACTTAAAGAAATGGCAGATATAATGCATATACTGATACGGAAGTTATATGAGTGCAGGGCGAGATGCCAAAGTACAATAAGGGTATAGAGACGGTAGCGCACAATAGAGCAGTCCAGCGCGACGGGGCTTGCGAGGTGGAGCCGAAGTTTCTGAAACTTGCTTCGTCGTGGTGCGGTGCTCCAGGTGCGACGAGAATGGTTCGGGAGACATCGCACTGGGGCAGTCGGGTCAGGGAAGAACTCGCAGAGCTGGTAAACGGAAAGTAGCCACTCTGTGGCCAGACTGAGCCTTCCTCGCTGCCGTAGTGCCCGCGGGGCGACGTCCGGAGCCGAAAGGTTTAGCGGGTGGTTGCCGCTAGTTTTCCGATTCAACTCGTGGCGACGGCACGTCACTCTATAGATGGAAGAACTCGCATGGCTGGCGCAGAGAGATTAGCCACTCGGTGCCGCGGTACCCACGAGGAGACGTCCGGAGTCTAAGGGTCCGCCGACTGCTGGTTACCAGTTGTCCGCATCGACTGGCGCGCCGTTGAACTCCAAGCGGCGCGCACAGATCGTCGAAACACAATAACCTCAAGATGGAGACCGCGTCTTTCCTGCTTTCCGACAAAACAAACACCACACCCAGAGGCGTCCTAGTGGTGAAACTGGGCATCGCTCGCGCCCCCTCCCCCCACACCCGCCCCCCCCCCCCCCCCCAAAAAAAAAAAGGAAAAAAAATTATATATAAAAAATTTACTTTTAGCAGCTGCAAACCATTTCCGAATTCTGAGGATCGGAGCTTTGGAAAGAAAGCTCACGGTTCGAAAGCGAAGAGGCCATAGAAATGCTAAAATTGTGTCCCATGCGACGGGTAACTCACAGATCCCCGCCATAATTATTCCGCCGATTACCGCCTAAGAAAAGTGACGGAGATGCGCCGTGTCAGTAACCATTGCCTGGCTCACTTTTTGGAGACCAGGCCGGTTTTTGTGACTGTCCCTTGAAGAGAAGTATATGCAGAATTTACCAGCACAGCCTTGGTGTCTCATTGCGGCTACTAACTGAGTTCACTGGAACGAGGTATATATATATTTTTTTGTACCGTTTATTATTCTCCAAGTCATGCATCGACATCGACCGCCCAACAGCCAGCGAACCAAAAAAAAAATAAAGAAGATGAACAGGTTTTATTACTAATTTCATTGTTTAGTGGTAGTTTTCACTATTTATGGAAGTTTCAATGAGATACAGTAAAAAAGAAACATTCATTCCAAAGTTTGAAGTTATTTTGATGTAATTAAAGACTGGCAAAAAAATAAGGCCTTTCTGGAAAACATAATTTTTATTCACACTTTCTCATGATTCAAATTTCATGCAGCTTAATGATCATCACTTTCAAATAACTGCTGCACTTTATTTGTCCTATACCATACCCTGACTATAGCCTCATCCCGTTCTAATTTATATTATATTTTCTTCATCAAGTGTAGCTGCTATGTGAAACTGAACAGGTAAACCGTCGTGCTCAGCCTTCTAGATCGAATGATAATCTGTTGTTACAATACGCATTTTTGCTCTCGTCAATCATGTGTCACATTCAAGTTGTCAAGCAAGGATGTGTAGGGCAATATATTGAGGAAGCAAGTCAGTTTATCTACAACTTTATATGGTCTTTCTTACTTTGTGTTCTTAGTTGCTTCGAACGTGTCCGTTTGTTTACATAATGAAGTATTTATAATTCTTGATAAACACAAATTTTCTTCTGCATTTTTGGAAAGCATACAAAAGTTTTTACCTGTCTGCAGTACATAAACCGCCACAAGATCGATAGCGAGCTATAAGTGAGTAAGTGCCAGCTTCAAAGAGAAGCAATGATTGTATTCTTTCCAAAGGAATAAGAAAGTTTTCTTATACGCGCCCTCATGAGTTTTTTCTTTCTCATTCACTGCCCGTAGTTGTATGGAGTTGCCTACGAATAACTGTGGCATCGCTGAATAGGATTTGGGTCCTTGCCTTTCGGCAAGCGGAATCACAATCGTGCCGACTTAATTAACTTCTCTTTGTGCAATCACTACCGCCACTCTTGTTGGCGGCACTACAAAGGTATTCCCCATTGTGCTTTGGGGCCTTTCATGTTTTTCTTCCAATGTCGATGGGCACGGAAGAACGCAATCAGGGGGAGCTTAATTTCTTGGGCATTTTTGCTACATTGGCTTGTTCTTTTGCTGCAATAAATATGCAAACAGCGTTCCCTATTCCTTGTGATCTGTTTTTAAATACTTTGCGAGCTCAAAAGAAACAAAATTAAGCTAATGTAAGAAATACGCTTACTAGCGTCGGTTCTCTGAGCTGCAATCAAGAACTGAGTTCTCCATATTTTAACATGAATTGTGCATAATATTACCAAAGCGACCAGATAGACAAACAGAAAATAAAGAAAAATGTTTTAAAAGCTTGTTTACACTCGTCAAAAACCAATACGCAAAAAGCCTACTTAGTACACTAAAAGTGTATTTCTTCGAAGAAACTTGATAAAAGTGGGATGAGGTCTCAAATCAATAGAAAAAAGGAAAGGAAGGCACGTCTACGTTTTTAATGAAGGCCCTACAGATGAACAACACGACGAAAGATCTGTTCGGTTCCTTGTCGTACAGATTTTGCAGCAGAAGATGATAAAGAGAGATGGACTGCTAACCCAGAGACTTTAACGTTAGTCTTATGGTATTGGTTTCACTAATCCATGCCGCTACTGCTTCACATATTTCAGCACCGAGAGGAGAAAAATAATTTTTATAGTCGGTATGTTTATGACACAAAGTTTCGCTTTATATATTTCTATGGTCACATGTGTTAACCCACTCGAATACCAAGCCTCGAATGATAAGAGACCAAAGGTCGGCCGCCCTTTGAGCAAACAATTTCAATGAAGGTTCAAATAGCATTAATTCCGTTCAATGTTGTGTTCGTCCTGGTTTAAGCATGAATGAGCATTCTACTGACGCTCATTTATCCAATCCGCATTGCAAGATATACGTGAAAGACCCCGGATAAACGACTGCAAATCACACACCAACTGCCTGTATGTGGCAAGGAAGTCAATGCCATTTTCAAATCAGAGTGGCTTTCCGTTGTGTCCCTATTCACTCAAGAAAATTTACAACTGCTGCAAATAAGCTTATGAGAGTTTGCGAGGCATTTATTCTTTGCAGTCTCTCTCATTTGAGAGAACGGGTAGACTCCTTAAAATTAGTACGAAAACTTATCAAATCTCACTTACCTGCCACGCCTTGGGCGTGCCCAATGATCCGGGCCGCGAACCTCCTCCTGTGGTGCCCAAAGAGTCCCAGCGACAGTATGGCGAACAGGGAACTGGTGGTGAACAGCACGCATCCCGAACCGAACAGGAGGAAACTCAGTCGCCACGTGGTCGAGGGGAACTGTCCCGTGCCCAGGTCGCCCGAGGAACCTTCGAAGCTGAAGCAGAAGGCGCTGCCGGTCACCAGGACGTCTGTGTCCTTGTAGCACACTCCGTAAAGTCCGAGCATGTAGACCAGCGTGTCCGGATCGTACGTCAAGAACGGTCTTGGGACGTCGTTCTGCTCGCGAACTAGCCATTCGGGTTGCACCAGGCTCACCAGGCTCGTCAGGGCCACCAGAAAGGACAGCAGGGTCCAGACAACAGATACCGGCCATGAGGTCTTGCTGAAGAGGACGTGGACGTGCTGACTCTTTTCAGGGGGTATCGGATGCTGCTCGCCTACGAAGTTGTCTGGTTTCTCGACGGGCTTCACTGTGCCTTTGAGTATCATTGGTAAGTTTAGGGGGAATAATTAACTGGAATGCGTGGGTCTATATCTCGCTTAACGTCCAAAGTTCCCTTTTGAGAGGACTGTTATTGCACGAGCAGATTGCACTACCATACACTGAACGTCTAGTTGAGAAATGCGAATGAGTTAACTTTCTAGAAGATACGCGCGCACCGGAACGATGTTAAAAGCAGTAATGAGTGTTGTTGTACTGGTAGGTGACGGACGCGTATGAAAACGCTAATGAATATTTACCAGTTTTCTAAGATCATCAGCGGCAACTTGTTCAGTTCGAGTACAATGCAGGATAGCGAGGACAAATTATCACGTTTTTAGCGCCACAAACATTGGGCACCCATTCGTGAAAAAGCGAAACACAGTTAGTGTCACATCATGACGCAACTCACTAATGACATTCGGCGAAACGTCGACACTGGTGAAAGAGGCAGTCCTCGGTGTGCGTTTCAACTCCGTTACGCATGACAGCGGTGATGATGGGTGTCGACCTAGTTCACGAAAGGCTTCATCTATTCAGCCGTGCCGCTCGCTCCTTATCACGACATGCCTCGTCTTGCTGCGACAACAAACTGTACGAGCCGTGGTGAGCATAGCGACCGCTCACTGCCCCCGCCGCTGCTGCCACGAGCCGGCGTCCGAAATCAGAGCATGATGGATGGCGGTCCAGTGCCGATCGCCGAGCTGCTCACCCGAGGGAGGACGACTTCCCCGTCTTGCTCGGAGCATCGGAATGAAGCCCGCTCTCCGAGGACTGCCCGACGCGAGCGAGAAGCGAGAGGCGCAGGGTTGCCAGGCCAACAAGTGGGCTTCCGAGCCGGGGAGACCCGACGGCCCCCTCCTGCGCATGCGTGCCGCCGAGGAGCTGCTCTCCCGTCTTGCACATCCCGCATTTTTTTTTGTTGGTATTTTTTCTCTTCTTATATTGCTCCCGATTTCAAAGCTGCTTTCGCCGTGTCTGGTAAAATCCCTGTTCTTTTCTTTTTGTGTCTCCGAAATACGAAAGATATTCTTTTTGGTTGATACCGTTATTTGTCACTCGAATCCCCAAAAGTGTCGTTTTATTGAGGCTTCGCAGAGCCCAGTCAGACTATGAGCAAACAATGAATGAAAGACAGGAATGGACGATGCACGTTTTTTTTTAATTTTTTTTTTTAGGGAGCGTTTTATTTTTTGAGTTTTCGAATTTGTGAATTCGGGTTTCGGTGTCACCGACCGAAATATCGTGGTAGGACGGACGCGTTGCTTTTGTAACAAGATTGGGAGCGTTCTATATTAACCTTGTTTTTGATATACTGATGTATAGTGAGATGCAATATTTGAATTTTTATCCGTCGTAAAATACGAATATATAAGTAGCAACAACGCTTCATAAATAAGGACAGAAGGATAGGACACATAGAAATACAAATACATTTTACAAATATAATCTTTTTCCGTTAACCTTGTAGAAAATCTAGCGGCTTCGAAATAAATACGAATTTCAATCACGTATAACTGACCGGCAATAAAATTAATCAATGACCCGGACGTATTTTAAGTTTAATTGGTTAGTGATGTTGAGAGCAAACCTATTTCTTAAAATTTCATCAGTGTAAGCTCAATAACCCCATAAAATTTACCCATTGGAATTTTTATTTTTATTTTGTAGCGTTATACAGTAGCTATCTGTTTTAATGGCCTCTATGGCACGCACATAATGTGTGAACGTATGTGGTAAAACACTTTAAAAACGACATATATTTTTTTTACTCTTGCACTTTTTACTATTTGATCAGTTTATAGGCTATTGCATCCAGTGCCGCAGTTTAAGATAAATGAAGAGGCCAATCGCTCATGCGGGCAGGGGAAAGGGGCGCATACGATTGCACAAAAAACAAATTGTCCTTACATTCAGAATTGCATGACATCAGCACCATGAAATAGATGTCTTTTTTGCTCAGGCCATATATCAATGATTCCAACAGCCATAATCTCGCAATACGAGATATAACATAACTTTCATTTTCAAAATGGTCCTCGTGCATTTCACGCAATCACAATGCAATGAATATATGAGGAGTATGCTTAACCCTTTACCCTGGTCAATTTATATGTTTATAAGACGCTAAAAATAAACTGAAGTGCCGGTTGTGCACGGGGCGACATCCGTGTTCAAAGATAAATCGCATGAAGTGATTACAGCTCAATCGGCAAGATCTAACGAACACCACACTCACGAGAAATGACTAAGACACGATCTCAATGCACCCTATACTGCATTCGTCTTTTTAGTTTCCGACCACCTAAGGTGCGAGGCGCAACAGAATCTTACGCTTGCCTTCGTTCGTTTCTTTTAAATCCTTTGCCAAGTTTGCCTGAAAAGCCGGGGCCTTTGTTATCCTTATTCAGGATACGGTAAGAAGAACGCTTGACGCTAGGCCTCTCGGTTCGAGTAAGCGCGACTAACCCAATTGGCCTTCTCGTGCACGAGCGCGCGTGTCCTGCTCTGGTGTCCTCTCGACTGGAGCGCCGTCCCGCGGGATCGCGGGGAATACGCCGACGAGGAGAGCTGGGGCCCGGTTCAGGATCCCGTGCAACTTTTATGACTGCGAGCTCGACTTACAAAGGCGATGACTTTTTGTGATTAATTTACTGCCACCCCCGACGTGATTAACGGCCGCTTTTATTGGCTGCTTGGATCTCTTTTTGCGGCGGCTCGCGGTGGAACTGCAGCGGCTTCCCCCTTCCCCATTCTTAACCCTAGTGCGTTGCCTTTTACGGTCCTCGTTTTGAGCGCAGTAGGGGATGAAGAACTACGAGCCTGCCATACTCTAACAATTGAGGGAGAGAGGAAAAAAAGCGAACGTCCCGACGTTTTTTTTTTTTTTTTCACTTTTGTTTGTCGTGTTTTCTGTTGTTTATTAACTGCTGTCGGGATTAATCTTATTTTGAGTGTTGGGAGTGAGCAACCGGTTCTATTGTGTTGGCGTCGTTTAAATGCAAGGAAGGGTAGCTTTTTGTTCTCTATTCTTAGAAGCACTGTGCCGGTTAATATATTTGTTGCGTTGCAAGTCGGTTAATTGCTTATATCCCCTGCGTGGAACACTTCAGGGTCGTCCGAAGTGTCGGCATCATTACTTCTTATAGATTCGACGCATAGGCATAAGGATGCCTATAATATGTTTGAACGTTTTACAAAATATTAAAAGCACATTCAATGAAAACTGTCCTAAATGTGATTTAACCTGTCGCACAGTAACTCTGTAATATTGCCGCGTGCTCACGTAGCCGAGTAGACACCGTTCGAAATGATTGCTAAGAAAATGGCCTTCCGTGGAGCGTCTCCAATGACTTACACCTGCCATGGGTTATCTGCTGAAATGTCCCAGGATGACTACCGTGTGGTTCTGTCATCTCTGCCTACAGGTAGTGAAGTTTTGAACTCTGTATTCGCTCATTGCGATATCACCGGACTGCCGTTCAAGATTGTCGTTTTTCGAGGAGAAATAAAACGCCATGGCCTCATTCAAGCCGGCGCGTACGAGATCAACCATGTCTGGCTCTTCACGTTCGACTCTCTGACAGCGAAGTGGAAACTTCTCGAAACTAAGAGACTTGTGGTGCAAGAAAGAAGATGCCTGCTCACAGATCCCGATGAGTGCGAGGTGCGAATATGGTTCCGCTGGATACCAATTCACATCAGCGACGACACAGTGCGGAGAGCCCTCAAGCCCCACGGACAGATCAACGAAGTAGCCGCAGACATGATAAAGAACGGAAGGCTTTCAGAATGTTCAGGCGATGACAAGGCTGGTGAGAATGAACCTGAAGGAAGTCGTCGCCAAGTACAGCTGTGTCTTTTCGACAGCAACGTTCTTGCTCTTGTCCATGGAGGAGCTACCGCTTTGACTCCGATCAAGGGGGCAGGCCACTTTCGTAGAAAATTCCACGAACCTCGCTGTGCCAAGTGCCATCGTTTTGGTCACGAGCAAGAGGATTGCATCCGGACGTACGCCACTGTAATGCGGCTTGCCCCGAGGAAGACAACTTGGAGTTCTTAATTGATAAAGAAGCAGCTTTGCAAATTGAAGACAGCACCTGGCATTCAACCCGCCATGCCTAAAGGTATTCAGCCGGTGATGAACGAGGCACATTCCTAGACACCACCACGTCAAGTCTGGATTCTGCCAAGACAGCTGCTTGCGGTGGAACCGGCACACACATCTACATTGCCGCTTCAAGCTCCCCAAAAAGCCAGCAAACGAAGACAGTTGACGGAAACGACGGCTTTACAGACAATGCCACCAACAATGACCTGCAAATGGACGACAGCTCCGAGCCCTCCAAGCGACCGCTAGATCGTGTCGAGGAGGAAGATTCCTACCTTGAGGGGTCTGCAAGGAGCGCGCCGCAAGGAAAAAAGAAACACAAGCCCCGAGCGCCGCGGACTGTCCGATGAGAACAAACCTCACAATAGGTGGTTAAGCTCACTTTGAGAGCAGTTTAAAAAGTTGCTTCATTAGATTCACAGCTGTGAATCTGTGCATGTGTCTCCAGCTTCTTTAATCGCCTGTATTGTGTACTTTTATGAATCTGTACTGCACACTTCAGGTTTGTTGTCAATAGCAGGATTGTCAGAGGAAATTATGAATGCCGTGCTCCCGGGCTAGTCAACTCCCGGGCTGGTCAACTGGTATAGTTCGAGCAGGCAGCAACACAACATCGCGAGCATATAAATCTTTCGCCAGGCATCGCAGTTAGGCATCGGCGATGCGGCTCGCGCTCGTATCGTAAACGTAACGTCGTTCTTAAACTACAACAGCGGTGAGACGAAACGGACTGCTCCCAGCTCCCAGCTCCGAGAAGCGCGCAGGGCAGCATAAACTAACGCATCCGTGTTACGGTGATCACGTAGACGACGTTGAGCCAATACCGGGAGGAGAAACTCATGACATCATCGTGAAAATTTCGCTCTCAGAAGTAAAAACAAACGAAACGTAAGAAGGACGTAGACATTACTCTGACGTAGTGGCTCAATGTTGGCTGCTCCAATTCCCTGGTTTTGACTAAGCTGTTGATTGCGCGTCGCGTCGCATGCTAGAGCTAGCACATATTGGCGGCTTGGCACATTTAGAAGTTTTCTGGCCAGTTTATTAAACATATAGACGGAATTAGATCGTAATATGTGACACGTGGTATTCCTAGATGATACTGAAGAGCGCTGCATAGTTTTCTCAACATCAATAATGAATCCAAGTTTTCCGTTAAAAAAACACTAAAGTAAAAAAAAAATCGTTTAATATTAAAAAAGAAGAAGCAATATTTACCCTGTTAGACGTAATTAAGGGGAGTTAGCCCCCCTGTGGGCCCCGCCCCGCGCGTCTAAATCCAACCAATCATCTTTCCAGCCAATCATCTCTTATTGGTTGGAAAGATGATTAACGTGCAACATGTTCGTTGTAAAATTGTTTCTCCGTGCCGTAATAGTATTTATATCATCAATATATTTTATGTTTTAGAAACAAATAATTTAGTTATGGTCATTTTTGTTTTCAAAAATATCCCCAGACCTCTTTTCCGCTTCGTCATCATAGCTTCGGTCACTCCGGCTTCAAACGATAACAAACATGGCTGGCTACGCTCGTTGAGCTCGTTTATTTTTATCAGTGCGAGTCGTTCTGCGTTCGCCGTGGTGTTTAAAGGAAGGTTTCATCAATCGACTTATTTTGCAGCCAACAGCTGTCGCAAGTACGCGTCTTCAGAAGCACTGTGCCGGTGCTTGGGTTCGTTGCGGAACTCTCCTA